GGCAGCCAAGTTAGTTGCTGCCTGCCTGATGTCTACAAATCAATTTTGTGTGTTAAACACAAACGGTGAGTTGCTGTGTCCAATCAAACAATCCACCAAATGGCTTACAAAATTGAATGTTGGAGCTGCTGCTGCTGCTGCATTTGAGGCAAATGACCGTTTTAGTCATCCATATGGTTGTCATGTTTGCAACTATTATAGTTGTTGTTTTTGTTGGCGGTGGTGGTGTATGCTTGATAATACCGTGTCATAGAAGAAACAAAAAAAAAAACAATCACGGCCCTGATAAAAATGCATATTTGATTAGATGATCGAATGCGAAAAATAACAAAATAACGAATAATTGTGAAACCCATACAGGGAGAGATGAAAAAACTGCAACCAACTTCAGGTGGTTGTCACTTCCAAGCCACTCGTCTGACAGCTGTTAAAATTATTCCACTGAAAGCTCATTATATTGTTTACAAGCGTACAAGAGCAATTGGTGAGAATTTTTCAGAAAAAAAAAGTTATTCGTGATGGAATTCAAGCGTGATAGTGTGATTTTTTTATATTTGGCTGGAAAACAACAAGTGGTTATCCTTACATCTTTTGTGTCTCGTACCATCGCTCGTTACCGTGATACTGGTGGCGTGAGCTGAACATATCACAATATTCCATTCGGCAAATATTGAAAAATGAGCTCGGGGTAAAGCCAGTGAAATTCCAAAAATTGCAAGAACTTACACCGCAACAGAAAGAAAACCGACTCAAAGGAGCTAAAAAGTTGCCTCGCTTGGCCGAAAGTGGTGAACTGCCGAATTTGGGTTTCTTCGACGAGAAAACATTCGTTGTCCAGCATTTTGTAAACAAACAAAATGATCGTGTTTACTTGCCAAAGAGGTCAGCTAAAAATGTGCACCTACCGTTGGCCACCAGAACTCAAGCGCCGGCAATGGTGATGGTGTGGGCCGACATAACAGCCGATGGTCGTTCTCCGCTCGTATTAATCGACTGTTGAATCAGAATAAATGCCGAATATTATCGCGAAAATATTCTGGAGGGTGTATTAAAGTCTTGGGCACGCAAATATTCCGGACGCAGACCTTGGACATTCCAACAGGACTTCACCAGCGCACTCAGCACGCGCCACCCAAGAATGGTTAAAAAATGAGGTTCCTCGCTTCATTTCCAGCTCACAATGGCCAGCAAAATCTCCGGATACCAATCCGTTGGACCATTGTGTCGGGGGTATTTTGGAAAGCAAGGTTGGCACTAAAAATACCAAAGTTTTGATCATCTCAAGCAAGCGCTTCGCCGGGAATGGGCCAAAATACTGCAGAGCAACATTCGGGCAGCGTGTGATGGTTTCATTGGCAATTCGAAGGCCACAATTCGTGCTAAAGGTAACCAATTCGAATAAATATAAACTTCTTCAAAATTTTGATACTATTTCCGACATTTTTGCTTTCATTCAATAAAATTAAAAAAAAAACGAAATTATGGCGTTTGACTTTGTTGCAGTTTTTTTCATCTCACCATGTACATATGCAAAATTATTGTGACTAGAAATTTCTATGGACTAGGGTAAGTGTACCAGTAGTCGGCACTTTTAGGATTTTCGCGTTTTTAATCGCTCACAATTCTGAATGGAACTTTTCACTTATTACAAAGTTAATTTATTCAGATTCGAAATTTTGTATAGTTTTTGCAATAATAAATAACGTTTTAATAACTTGTTATTAAATTTCATAAATTTGTAGTTTTATTAAAACAATGCTTTTTTGCCAGTAGTCGGTACCACTTTCCAACTGTCGGTATGGCATGTTCCAACAGTCGGCATGCCAATTTTTTTGCAAGAATAATTAATAATAATAATAATAAATTAATTCATTAAAATATAATATTTTTGTTAAGTTAAACTGATTCGACGTCTTTATTGTACTTTTCTTAAGAATATGGATTGTTGAGGACCTTCACAGACAAAAATTTAATTTTTATTAGAATAAATCATCTTTTCTTAGCGAAATTGGGCACAAAGATAGCTGCCAATATATTTGAAGTACACAAAATACATTTAGTCATAATAGTTTCATTTATTTGGGCTTAAAAATAAAAAGTGCCGACTTCTGGGACATGCCGAACTTAGGCACACTTACCCTGTATGGATTGAAAATAATTTACTTATGTCCAAAATGAAGATTTTTTAATTTTTCCCAATTTTATCACTTTCCAAAATTGCCGTTTTATCAAAAGGGACACTCCGTATTACAGTAAATGCATTACCTGGTCTCTAACATCAATTTGTCAACATCCTATCAAATTTGTGTTTTTTCTTCTAATTGCTAGAGCGAAATACTCACTTACTATTCACTAAAAATTTAATTACATTTTTCGATACAATGTTAATTGCTGGTTATTAGCATCAAATTTACCCAACAAGAGACAGAGATAGTGTTGACGTGCTATCTATCTACTCTTCTATTGATGTAGGTTGTAGACTGTAATTATTTTTCTGTTTTGAGGTGAATATGTTGCATTTGAATTGCAAACATTTGTTTGCATTAAAAATTTACATTGTTGAAACAAGAAACGACACTGCATTGCAAAATTTGCAATAAAATTTACAATGTAGTTTTTATTTGCATATGAAAAATGTTCAGCAGTATAGAATAGTTTATATTAATAGGCAAATATTTATGTAATAGTTTTTGTATGCAACAGACTGCCAAATTTGTGTTCATTATATTTTATTGCAACTAAGGTAATAACTGAAAAATCTATGGGTAAAAAAACAATTAAAAAAGTATCAGTCGGTTTTTCGACAAATGTATGCCCTCACAGCCTATGTTCGATTATTTAAATATATTTTGACTTCTATTAAGATTATTTAAATTATTGACCATCTCCGGAGTAGGTTCCGAAGCACCTAAATGAATATGATAAAAATATTGCGACGTGCTAGGTTTGGATTATATTGGTTACTTCCTTCACATTATATAAGATATTAATAATATTTAGAAAATGTTAAAATGTGCGTAGGGTATCAGTTAAATACCACAAAATTTTGTAATGAAGTATAAACTACTAAAAATATTGTATGGGCAAAATTACAAGAAAATCGAAAATTTACAGGGTGAGATGAAACAACTCCAACCAACTTCAGACTGCTGTCATTTCTAAGCCACTGGTCCGACAGCAGTCAAAATGATTCCAGTGACAGCTCATTATATTGCTTACAAGCGTACAAAAGCATTTCTGGTAATGGTGGTCTGGATGATTTCTGGAAAACCACAAGTGGCTATCGTTAGAGCACTCCAGCATTTAAATGTGAAGAAATCTTTTGTTTCTCGTAGTACTGGTAGCGTAGTCCGATGTCAAGGAAGTGGAGGGAAGAAAACAGCAACATCAGCAGAAATGGTTCGAAAAGTAAAGAATCGACTTGATCGAAATCCGCGTCGTAGTGGCCGAAAAATGGCTCGTGAGCTAAACATATCGCAATATTCCATTCGGCAAATATTGAAAAATGAGCTCGTGGTAAAGTCATTGAAATTCATAAAAATTGGAAAAACTTACACCGCAACGGAAAGAAAATAGACTCCAAAGAGCTAAACAGTTGATTCGCTTGGCCGAAAGTGGTGATCTGCCGAAATAAGTTGTCTCCGATGATAAAACATTCGTTGTCCAAACAAACAAAATAATCGTGTTTACTTGCCAAAGGGTGTATTAACAGGACTCAGCACGCGCCACCCAAAAATGGTTACAAAATGAGGTTCCTCGCTTCATTTGCAGCGCACAACGGCCACCAATTTCTCCGACTACCAATCCGTCGGACTACTGTATCTGGAGTATTTTGGAAAGCAAGGTTGGCACTAAAAAATACCGGGAATGGGCCGAAATACCGCAGAGAAACATTCGGGCAGCGTGTGGCGGTTGCATTGGCCGTTTGAAGGCCATAATTCGTGCCAAAGGTGACCAATTCGAACAAATCTAAACTTAAATTTGATGCTGTTTCCATATTTCGTCTCACATTTATATATAGCAAGTTGTAAAGAATCGCTGACAGTTATAACATATAAAAGTATTGAAAATTGTGGCCCTTTGTGGGTGAGGTGATTCGCAGATATATCGTCTTCACAACAGATTTTGTGTGTGTAAAATTTGAATAGATATTCATGTTTATTTCGCTTTCTTTGTTTTTCAAAATTTTGAACCCTATGTGGGGGAGGTACCAGAAGAAATGGTCCGATCTCTACGATCTTTATAACAGATCTTGTGTTGATGAAAATATTGAGATGTCTGGAACGTAATCAGATATAAATTTCGTTTTTTATGAGCTTCATGGATATTACAAATATTAACCCTTTGTGGAGTAGGTACCAGAAGGAGTGGACCGATATATTCCATCATCATGCCGGACCTTGGATATAAAAAAATAAGATGTGAATCTTACATCACATTTTATATGAGCTACAATTAATCAAAATGTTGACCCTTTTTGGGGGAGGTACTTGGTGGAGTAAACCGATATTGATTATTTTCGCACCTGATGTTGCACTGATAAAAAAAAGTAGAATTTGCAAATTTGGAGAAAAATCGGATCATTCTTGCTCTCCTGTGCAGCAAAATATTTTTTTTTTTTTTTGGTGAGCAAAGGATATGGTATAAAGATCATTACAAGAGGAAGCCTTGGGTGGCCTATAGGGCCATCTCAACATCAATAAATATTTCCCAATGTAGGATGAGAGAAAAAAAAAAAAAAAACATTCATCAATTGTTTGTGTTAGTATTCAAAGATATATAAGTTTTATGATTTTTCTGATCATCAACGTCAAATGCCATTAACCTCTTCCCATTTGACAAGTAATTTATGCACTGCCGTTGTCACAGATTTTCAGTTTGTTTTTTTTTTTTCTTTTTTTAACGTACGATAAAGCAACAAATTATGCAAAGTTTTTAACAGCTTTTAACCCGACAGCATATTTTCCCAGAAAAAAAAAACCCATTTAACGAAGCTTATAGCCTGTTCAGCAAACTTATTTTTCTTCCAATTGCTCGGCAAATGGCAGACGATTAGAATTTTTGGTTTTTGTATGTAAGTAAACAAAAAGAGCTTTTTTCAATAGGCAATTTTTGGTTCACCAAACTCCAACACAAACAAAACGAAATGTCAAAGTAGGCAATCAAAAAATACCAATCGTCTATTCACAAAAGTTTTAAAAATTGAAGATATTGGGTGTAAAATGGATATTTATACTAAAAAAATGTAAGTATTTCCAAGTTATAAGTTATTATAAACATTAATTTATAAGGAAATTTCAATCTTTTAGAATTAAAAAAACAACTCCTGGTCAGTTTCGGATCTTGGTGGAATCTATTGACGAATTCCCAGAGCTAGCAACTTCAAGCCCGATATTTGGGAAGTCGAAAGTCGAAATTGAATCCAAATGGGATGTTGTGGCACAAAAAATAAATTCGGTTGGACCTCCAATGCGAAGTGGATCTGATTGGAAAAGGGTACACTAACAGTCATTTGTTTTACAACAGTATTTAAAACGCTTAGGTTTTAGATATGGGCAGATATGAAATGTAGAACGAAGGCCAAAATAACTGAAAATATAAAGCAAATGAAAGGCACAGGCGGAGGACCTTCCTATCAAAATTCGTTGACAGATATCGAAAGGGATATCGATAGGATATGCCAGCTATCAAAAGCCGCATCACCTGATGGAATAACCTTCGGTACAAATAGGAAAGAGCCTCTTGTTTTGGAACTTACGCCACCCAGACCTTCAACTATCGTTGCTGTTGTTACTCCCACAACTTCAAACCAATATTCAAATACAGCACAAGCGACATCAACCCCTATCAAAGTTATGCCGAAAGCAAACCTTTGCAAAAACCAACAGAAACGAAAGATCGCAGAAAAAGAACAAGGGGCAGAAATAAAACTTTTAAAATTACAATTGGAGCAGAATAATGCTTTGGTAGAAGAGATGAAGGTGCAAACAAAAACACTCAACTCGCTGGCCAATTCTCTCCAAGGCATTCAACATGTCTTGCAAGAAATGTTAACATTTTTAAAAACTGAATGAAAATAATTGTGTTAAGACATTTTTTAATCAACTAATCAATTTTATTGTTTCCCTATTAATTTAATTTTAATAAAAAAGAGCTTAATTACATTTTTATTATTTATGTTGATTTATTTAATTATTTTTAACTATTTAATTTAACAGATTTAAAGCTATTTCGTCTCTAATTGTAATAGCTGCCGTTTCATCGCCAGAGGAAAAACTACCTAAATCTTCATTTTCATTTTGGAACATAGCATCACTTGGTAACAAATGGTTCTTATAAAATATACATATGTTGTGCAAAGCACAACACGTGTTTATAATTTGTGTTGCTTTGGCGGGACTGTAATGCAACCCTCTCGATCCTATGATGCACCTAAACCTATTCTTTAGAACACCAAAACACCGTTCTACAACATTTCGAGTTTTTGAGTGTTTCTTGTTGTAGTTCCTTTCGGTGGCATTTAAAGGATTCCGGTATGGCGTCATCATATAGGGCTGAAGTTTGTATCCAGAGTCCCCTTCAAGTGAATTTTAGGAAAGAATATATTTTGGTGTATGTGTGTATTAAAAAAGGCAACTATAAATACCTAACAGCCATGTATTCCTCTTGCCTCGAATAAAATTATTTTTAAAATGATCATGTGCATCGCTCTGGTCCCACACAAATGCATCGTGATTTGCACCTGGATGTCTAGCATCTACGTAATTTATTACCATATTATGATCGCATATCTGTAATGAATAAAACAAATTAATAGCATATTTTCATTACATAGCTTTGAAAAAAACTTACCACCATTACATTTATGCTGTAGTAACCTTTACGGTTATAATATAAATGCTGTTGTTGTTGCCCAGGGGACTTTATTCGAACATGGGAGCCGTCTATGCATCCTACAACTCCGGGTACACCAGCGCTGTTGAAAAAGCTTTGTTTACATTCGTCTTCCTCACCTAATGTTTTTTGTAAACGAATCCATTTAGCACATATGTGCTGCTCCACAATGTTCAAGCATTCGCTTATCACCTCCGAAACTTTGGCCTTTGACATATATGAGACACTCTCATTTCCAACACAAAATTGGTAGCCACCACTTGCCAAAAATTTTAAAAATGTTGAAACTTTTACGATTGGTGGAACACTGCTGCTCCTGGTATTCCGTTTCATTTGTGGCTCCATTTCACCCAACAGCATCAAAAACACATCCTTACTTACTCGAAAATTGGCAATAAATCTGAAACAAACAACAAAAGTTATGGTCCATTTCATCCGCTGTCCTGGATCCATCCAAACACTTACCTTTCTTCTGGAAGTTCCAATACGTTTATGGCATCGCGCAATTGACGAAAAAGATTGATATTTCCGTCACCCCTATTCATACTTTTATTTAAAATGGAAAGTCCAAAACCAACGGAGGCAATCATTTTTAAAAAATATAAACAAATTTTCTTTTTGGAAACATAAACAAATTTTTGACAGAAGGGCAATAAGTAAAAAGAGCTTTTTTCCCAGACGAAAAAAGTAAATGAACTAAAATAAAAACTTGATTGTCTGGGTAGCAATTGTTTGTCTGCCTTACACAAAAGTTCTGTGAACAGGCTATTAGAGTCATTTAGTCACATAATGCGGCATAAAAAGTTGCAGAGCAAGAAAATTAAAAAAACACACACATATATATATATATTTTAATGCAACAAAACATATGGCGTTTTAAGTGGCCAATTTATATTGTGGAAGTTTCAAAGAACAAATGACGGCGGCCAAAAAAGTTTTGGTCATTTGTGCATCATCACCAAATTGGACAAAACCACTTTATTTATCATTAATAACAATTACATTGGGTTGGATGTTAATAATTATATGCATTTCAATTGGAATCATGCAAATTAACAAAACAAAAAATAATAATGTCTTGGAGGCATTGACCCACTGGCTGACCTGCTCGTTTAATGAAGTATGAAGAAGAAGGTATGGATATGGTTAAACAATTTAAGATTTTTTAATTCATAGAACTACAAACATTCGAATAAGTCATAAATGAAACACCTTAAGTAGACATTTTCAAAGGTTTACATATATATGAAAACATTGCAAAGCGTTTGGAAGTCCACCCAGCGTAAATTAGATGACAAAAACGAACGGGAAATGTGTACTATAATTTTACGAAAATTACAAAATGGTAATAAATTTGGTCTTGGTTGAAGAGATAGATAAATTCCGAAATTTGATATTTACATTACTAATGGTATGTGTTTTTGAAATTTAGTGGTGTTTTGGAAATGCGTGCTAAATTTGTACGAAAAGTACTAAATGGTACTAAATTTGTTATTGGGAATGTATAGAGCTGAAATTCCGACATGTTTTGGAGGTATCTGGAATTGAGATATCGTGGTGGTTTTGCAAATGCATACCATAATTGTTCGAAAATAGTACCAATTTTGGATCACTACGATGGAGAGGCGTAGATTGTCATGGATATGCGGTAGCTCTTGATCATAAGAATGAAATTTTTACATGTCCTTTCGCATGGCATTTTCATCCATTTTATTACTTTTTCCAGAATTTTCCAGCGACTTTTTGGAATTTTGGAAAAAGCAGCAGAATTAATTATATTAAGAATCCTATTCAGGATTTTAAATAAGAGGAAAGGAAAAGGAGGTGAAAAATATATGAAATATAAATATACGGAATAACTGCAACAAAGTCAAAAGATTTTTTTTTTTTAATTTTATTGAATGAAAGCAACAAATTTTGGAAATGGTATTAAATTGCAGGATAAGTTTAAACTTGTTCGAATTGGTTTGTTGCTCTGCGGTATTTTGGCCCATTCCCGGTAAAGAGCTTGCTTGAGGTGATCGACACTTGCTTTCCTGTTGGAATGTCCAAGGTCTGCGGCCAAAATATTTGCCCAAGACTTTAATACACCCAATATTTTGGTGATAATATTCGACATTTATTCGATTAATATGAGCAGAGAGCGACCATCGGCCTTTATGGCGGCCCACGCCATCACCATGGCCAGCGCTTGAGTTCTGTTTACAAACTGATGGTAAACGAATATTTTCTCATCGGAGAAAAACAAATTTGGCAGTTCACCACTTTCGGCCAAGCGAAGCAACTCTTTAGCTCGGTGGAGTCTATTTTCTTTCTGTTGCGGTGTAAGTTCTTGCACTTTTTGGAATTTCAATGGCTTTACCCCGAGCTCATTTTTCAATATTTGCCGAATGGAATATTGCGATATGTTCAGCTCACGAGCCATTTTTCGGCTACTGCGACGCGGGTTTCGATCAAGTCGCTTCTTTACTTTTCGAACCATTTCTGCTGATGTTACTGTTTTCTTCCGTCCACTTCCTAATTGAAACAACTGTCGGACGAGTGGCCTAGAAATGACTGCAGTTGGTTGCAGTTTCTTCATCTCACCTTGTATATATCAAGAAAATATCTGCACCAATGAGCAAAAAAATCGAAAATATTTTCCAATTTTTCGATCAAGTTTTAACTGGCCTTTTTTGCACGTTACTGCCCGAAAGTAACGTAAAATTTCGACTTAGAGTGGAGGCGCAAAATTTTAAAATTTCACAGTATATCTTGAAATAATAATAAGATCAACATTTATATCAATTAACCGATAGTAAGGTCAATCGGATATATCGAATGTGACAATAATCAATATTTTGCCAATTAGCAACAATAGAAATATTTCTAAATTATACCCATTTGTATAAACTCCTGCAATACAACTCTATAAACAACCAGAGAAAAATCAAACAAATCGGCGCATTACAAGACCCCAGAGTCTTATTCCTCTCGAAACGATTGCAGCAAATATCGTAACACAATTTAATTAGTCAAATCTATTGACAAATCGTCATTCATTTACAATATTGAGGACAATTGTTTTTGTGTTTCTCCCCTTTTTTTGCGAACACGTCAGTTTGTTCCTCAGTCTGTTGGTCGCCAACGATAACAACAACATCATTTATTGGCAAACGTTTTGATTTAATCGTGACAAACGATACCAAATTAATCATGTTTTCAAGATACTTATGATGACTGTGAGAGTTTCTTCGTTTTGGTAAGTCTCAACTCAAATGGCTGCTTCGTTATTTCTTTGCCCGGGTGTCTAGCCAAAGGAGCGTGTGATTGCTGTAAGAAGTACCAGTATATTGGAGGAGTATTCCATAATGACCAAGTTATTGGTAATTAAGCTGGAACTACTGGTCACTCTGCTCTGTCTCGTTGTTGCTCCTAGTTCGTACTAATGTTTTCTCGTATTAATGTTTGAAGCTGAAATTGTTTTTTTTTTGCGATAGTCATTCACCACTTGCCGCCGTCATCTCAAAAACTATTCAGCCCACCAGAAGAAAAACAAAAAAAAAAAAAACACGCAAACAACACCATTTAAGCTAATGTTGTCGTAATAGATTTTTAAACAACAACAAATCGCAAGAATTGCAATGTTGTCATCAAAACGATACAACAAAATCGTAAAAAAAAACCAAAACAACAACGTGTGCAACAAACTGTTGCATTCGTTGGGGTCGCCTAAATAGCAACACACCAAACTATTCAGTAACGCCATCTATGTCGCCGCCGACATCACCACACTACTGTCGGCCGCCGCTAACAGACAAAAAAAACTAAACCCCCAATAGAAAACCTGCGCCAATGAACGGCCAAGACCGAGCAAATTGTGTTGGCTGCCTGGCTGGCTGTCTGTCTGAATAACTCGCTTACTTGCCTGAATGACTGACAGTCTGAGTATGAATGGATGATTTGTTAGCTACTGTTGTCGTTTTGATGAAAAGGGGAGTGGGGAAGGGGACTGAGGTGCGGTAAAAATAAGCTATATGAAGTGCATGTGTTTTTTCGTAACGCACGCGAGTTCAATGAACGCTTTGCCACACGAACTAAATGAAATAAACAAAAAACCTAACATAGAAAAACAACAACAACAGCAAGAAAAAATGTTACGCGAATTACGATGTTGTCGCCACATGTAAGCATGCATTCGTATAGAAATACTATATAACAAATTTGTAAAAAAAAAATCACAAAAAAACAACATTTTCGCTTAGAAACGAGGAGGGTTTATACAATTTGAGGCATG